AAAATCATATAAGAGCTTCAGTAATTCACATATAATTCTGCACGAAACTAACACTATTCACAAAGACACCAAAATGAATGTACAAGTTTTGGCAATTTTATTCCCGATGTCAAAGATCTGGATCGTTCACTAACGAAATGATGTTTTCTCTATTGCTTTGTGTTGTTCATCGAACAAGATTTGGATCTCCCGTCGGGTTTACCATGAGTCACTGTTCCGAAGGCAGACGAATGACGAGAAGACTTCGTTGTGCTTTCCTTCGGATAAGTACAAGCGCTGATTTCAGTCTCAAGCCGGTTAATAACTGGGATTCTCTTCCCTGTTTATCTTAGATATTCCACCCGCTTCACACAGCCTGTTACTCTCTGAGTTTCGCTACACTAGAAAACTTCATGATTCCAAAAACCAGAATCGAGCTGTGCAAAAAATCAATGGTATTGCATCTAATTTGTGCCCTCATCAATCTTCCTGCCACAGAAATTCGTCTCTTGCTTTCTAAATGATTGCATATGTATAATTATTGTGCAGTTGTACCCTGTAAATATGTCGGTGCTGAGAGCAGATAGAAATATCATTCTCCCAGCATTAATAAATATTGAATATAAATGCTGATTAGTGGCTTATTAGCCAGGGTTTGATCTAATACCACATAGCTAGATCACGGAATACCTGAAACTTTACAACTTCCAATAAAGTTACTCGAAGCGGTGATGAAACAGTGGCGAATAAGATGGCTATACAAGAATGTGTCTATCGGAGCGGTGAAGATCAAGCGATGAACCTTACTGAAAGATTCAATCTAGCTGGTTCCAATTTTGTCTGATATCGAATCCCATCAGCTACAAATGATGCCTGCTGAATGTTGCATAACCGTGTGAAAGAAAACGCCATCACATAGAAATAAATTTTTTATTTCACTTTGATGAAAGGAACCTTCCTCGTGTAATTTGTTGTGTTGAATCTGAAGACGCTTCAGTTGCAATTCGATATTATTTGTACAGGTGTCGAAACAAGAGGTAAAATGTCACAATTTCGACGATATTTCAAATTAGTCGAAGGCAATCAATTAACGTGATGTCTTCCTATATTTTTAATATAAACAGGGGCCCATTTTGCCCATAATTTGTGCCTAATTTGGTCGGTATTCGCGTGCGGGTTGTGCAGCGGAGCACAGAGATACGGGTATGCATCCAATAAGTCGCAAGTACTCAAATACCTTGGAAAAGTGGCGTGCTTAATTGGTCGCGCTATGCAACTAAAAGTAATGGAGCGGAGTTTTTCGAGTGTGCAAATCCGGTATCCAAAGACTGATTACAGTTCTGAGTAAACCCTGTACCAGAAATAAAGGTGTTACTGGGGAATTCTAAAATTACTAAGTGGTCAGCATTCCTGAACATCGGGTTATGGTGTTTAAACACGGATGAACGCTTATGAGTTTTAGATTATTGCCAATAAAGGCAAACGAGTTCTACAAGAATTTGTCGCCTACCGTTTCTATTGTGAGTTTCCATCGTTTCCTAATTTGTATGTAGTCTTTAATCCTTACATGAAGGCTAAGGATAATTAGCTGATGATTTCAAAGAGTAAACGTCCTCTTCTTACGTACCTAGTTTACTCCGATGTGATCTGATGAACCGACAAAATAAGGACCATGTCCCAGATAAAATATCAACGCTGGACCAGCACTGTCGGCAACTAACGAGAGTCAAACTATGCCCAGGATAAATCAGTAAAAATGCCTGACAACGGCTGAAATATCCTTATTTCATTAGCGGCATAATGTCAAACAGAAAATGTACTTCAACTCCACCGTTTCATATACGTAAAACTGTACTGCTAACGTTGAAATTCCTCCCTGCTCATAAACTGATCAGTATCAATGATGGAAGCATTGGAAAAGGTAGTACAGAACCAGTTCCATGGCTATCATGAATGATTATTTTCCAACATATAGCTCATGTTGTTTTATCAAACATGGCATTTAACTAATATGCAAAAAACATTCCACATTTAAAAAAGCGTGGAACACGTAATATTTTTTGTCCCTGATTTTTCTCTTGCTTTCTCATGGCCAAAACACCGATTGATCGAACATAGTAGAAACAGTAAATCATAAATACCCAAGACAGTTCGTTGGCGCAACGATCTAACAACGACCGTTCGCAACTCAAGAAGCAACAATTACGATAGCTATTTCTTTTTTTTACTTTTAACCGGCAACTGCTGATTTCTGATCGTTGCGTGATTACTGCTGTTAATATGAAGGAAAAGTCTATTCCTTGAAGGAAAGATTTCCTTGCAGGTCTCACACTGAAGCGAAGTCTTGTTGGGAGTCGGCGATGTGCTGCCACGGCTTCGTTCGCTGTTCTTGTGTCGAGGCTTCGAACGTTTCACAGAAGCACTGGTGTCATCTAAGCTGCTCTGTTCAAGGTTCAGCGATGATTCACCGAAAACAACGGTCAAAGGCTCACTGCCAGGTGCAGTCGTTGAGACTGCCAGATCATCATCCATTACGGATGTCTCTTCAGCGCTTACGACTACATCAGCGACAGAAGACGGCATGACAAGAGCGGTCTGAAGGGAATCTTGCAGCTCGTCTTCCAAAAAAGCTAGTTCTTCTTCAGGCAGAGTTGAACGAAGAGACGACAGAAGACTGTTGTGCTTCTTTGATTTGATATGAGATTTGAAACTGCCAACGTTCTTGAAAATCTTCCGGCAAATCAAACAATGCAAAATACCTGATTTAATCCCGTCACTAACTTCATTCGAAAGATCTTAATTAAAAGGATATAAAACCAAAACTAAGAATAAAAACGCTCACCTTCGCTTTGACTCTGACAAGAATCGGACACTCCGAATTGCATATCTAAAGCACTTTCAATTTCCTCGAGACGACTTTCCTGCGCATCAGTGTCCTGTAGTACATCGTAGTTTTCAAACATCCTAAAAATTACAAATTCAAATTATAATCACAAAAATACAGATCATACATTTTCCTCAATCGATGGTGCAATAAACATCATTCAAAAGTAACAACATTAACAAATAGTTATTAAATAAAAATATGTGAGAAAGAAGTACCCGGGTAAGCGTTTCATCGCTTTTCAGACACTACGTGTCATATTTTACAGTTAACAGGTCATTTGACCAATGGCTAACGCCTCTAGCTCTGCGGTTCCGACCATCGTTGACAGACGAGGTCTAGAAAGAAATCAGCGTCTAAACACGTGCAGCTGCGCTTTCATCTACAACAGATTCCTGGGTGAGCCGGGGACAGTAAGACACACGATCGTAAAGGACGAGAGGTGGAGTGGCAAGGATATCGCAACTAAAATACCGAGTCACCGACATCCGCGAGAAAGGACGAGCTACAGGTTGACCCACTGCGCAACCTTACTCTCACAGAAACAATAATGAATAAATAGACATCATTCAAAACGACAACAGGAATGAACATAAATTTGTTGTTGGCAGTTTTGCTTCCTTATAGGCTGTAAATTCATCAGCTATTTATCTCTGCCCAACCAGAGGGAAACCTGCCAACAGCGAAGGACATCAGACCATGCTTCTGGGAGGAGGTAACCTCAGCTATAGAGTCGAATACGTTATCAGTGGCCAGGTATTCCAGTTTCGCACTCTATTTATACGATGAAAAATAGGCTTCGGACTTTTAATAAACACTTTGCCATAAGGTACTGCGGTTACCACACTTGGATGGAACAACTCGTTTTGAACTCATGCTTACCTATGCTTCGTTGTAACTGCCCTCATTCTTGACGTTCTGTTTTCGAGTGAGAGCTCTAGAGATTGGAGATAGGAGTCTATGCCTACCCAATTTTTCAAACAGAGCCGACTTCCTTTTAGCAATCTCGATTGGTCGTTGGAAAATCCTTGTCTGAGCGAGAATTGCATTCGATTTATGGTTCTGCCATTTAATCCAAAATATCGAAGTCAACGACGCGTTGAAACCAACGTTTCTGATTTTTTGTTACAATAATGGACTCAAAATTGATATAATCAGACCGCAAGGCATAAGTGAATCTTGATGAAAACATGGCATTTTCTCCGTTCAAAATTCGGATAGGTAAACAAGACCCAAGGACGAACTCTTTATTTAAGCCTGATTGGACAGTGTGATCGAACCGAACTACTTAAACTGGTCAAACTCTTCAACCGTTTTACTTCCCTGTTACACTTTCAAAAGTGACGTAGCAGATCAGTAATCATAATATTTGACTTCCTAATGTTGATGATGGCAGGATACGGCAGGTTTTCACCGTTACGCTGCCTGTAGAAGAAGCGACGTCGACGAGATCGTCTTTACAGTTGCAAATCAGATCAATATCATTCGTTTGGTGAGCAAAAGCAAGATATCTGATCATATATTAAAAACTGCTCTTTCCTTCTACAAAGAGACCTTCGCCTTTGCTGATAATACGCACACCTATAATCTACTCTACGGCGAGCAAGACCGACAAGAGCAAAATATTTTTTGACGTACTTCAGATTCTTCAAACGCTGCCTTAACTGATGTTCCTCGATTTTCTTTAGCTGTTCTGTTCGTTTAAGTTCAACTGCCTTTCGGTGAGCTATCACGCGCTTATCTCTCTTGCGGACGAATTTTGCCAAAGCCTAAAATTCAAAAATGTTCAACTCATGTCTGAGAATACAACGATACACAGGTAACTAAAAAAGTGAACATTTACAACATCTACACTACTAAAAATTTTAAAATTACATTTAAATACGTCTTACAACTATGAAAAGTAGAAGAAACAGTAAAACAATCAGAAAACAGAAGAATCAGTTGATACAATAAGAAACAATCGAAGTCAACAGACATCATCAGGTAGTTAAGATTACGAGGGAAAATCAGTCATATTAAAGACTATAAGCGTAAACACTATCTCTCTGTATAAAGAAAATTAACCTCTTCCATAATGGGAGAGACTCTCTTGCCATAATTTGAAAGTGCGGGCATTTCATACATATGCGAAACAGAATATGCCACAGAATAAGAAGAAGTACCTCAGCAACTTAACAAGGTGGAACAGTCTGAATTATGCAGAGAGGAGAGGTCGACAGAGAAAATAACAGGCACTGTATAATAGAACAGAATGTAAAAGTACACGACGGCGGTGGAGTATGCTGCAAAAATGAAAGCATCATAAAATGGGACCACTCGTGAGGGATGTGCCACAAAAGAACTTTTCAACCAAAACAAATATAACCGATCGCGCTCAATCCATGAACTATACGACTGAAACCAGAAAGTATAAATAACGAAACGATAGAAAAACTTCCATTCAGTCTCACCGCCATCTACTCGCCAGATTGAAGCGGTAACGGTTTCAAGTTTAATTTAAAAATCCGATCGTCTACCAATTAGGCAAGCTCCATCAACTGGATTCTAATGGTCGACATCGCCAAGTGTCAGCTACTGAGCCATTCGGTCTGCCTTGCTTCTGGCATTGTGCCGTTTACAAACAAGAGTTCGTTTTGCCAGTCTGTCTTCTGACACTTTGAACATAAGTACAGATCACTCAATTACAATCGCTCGATCTGGAAACTGAGCGGTTCACAAGGAGAGTATTTCGCATAGTGTCTTCTGAACTTGTTCAGTCTCCTCACGGTAGTAGTCGTTCGAAAAAAATTACCATTTTTTTAATAAGCATCGATTTAAGGGATTTGCTCAGCTTAGTGATGCCATTTCACTGCTCCTAGTGGATTACTGAAAGGACAACGACTCTACAGTAAAATAGCACATATAAAACACTGGTGAAAAATCTTTGTTGGGTCGAACGGAAACAGGTTCAAACAAGAATACACGGATATTAGTTAGAAGCAATAAAAAGTCTTGAAGATGGACGAAGGAATGAATATATTTACACTAAGTGAAAACACCCAAAATAATATCAACATCCCCTGCACTTCATCATACCCTAATCTCATCGTTTCGAGCTTTCCGGGCAAGATTACGAAGTTTTTCGTTCTCCTTCTGCATAATGCGAAGCACACGTCTGTTTGGAGCCTGCCTGATGTCGTGTTTGTCAAGCCAATAGTAAGTTTTGGCGGTTGAGAAACACGTCCAAAAGTTGTAAAACGGCAGAACAACCTAAAAAGTTCTGTAAAAAGTCAATGTAGAAAATAAAGATAAAAAGACGATAAAATTTATCGATATAATATTAATTAACAGCAATAATCATAATATGCTAATGCCCTGAATTAAAGTAAGTATAGTAGCAAAACAACTCTGTTTCGAGCATATTCAGGCTTTCTTGTTCCGGCTACTGCAGTCTGACCCATGTTATATGCTCGGTTGACATGCAACTGCACAATTTCGTTATTATACGAAGGTATCAGCAAAAGCAAAGAAATGAATTTGGGCTTAAGCACACTGTTGCATATTCTTGCAATTTTTAAAGCTACAACCCATCACTTTGTTTGTAAACTGCGCCGTTGCCGGTCCAAAGCCTGAATGAGAAAGGAGCAGGGTTGGAGACCTGGCAAATCTCCGTAAAATTTAGCCACCAAGCACTCATGCTATTCATGCCATCGAAAACTATACCGGCTCAGTCGTCGCCAGGGTAACCAGGGGCCGCGCAGGCCGTTCGGGGACTGAGGCACACTGCGAAAAGTCGGTGATCAGAACCTGCTATTGTCCTCTGCAAGCAGGGGGCGTAGAAGCACGACACCGACGGAACGACGACGAAGAAACCAGTCAGCAAAGGAGTCGCTACCCGTTGTGAAAGGAGAAGACAGAGAGCGCGATGCCATTACAGCACGTCAGAAAAGGCTCCACGGAAACGACACCACCAGTGGGAGCTTA